ATTGTCCGCGGGGCCCCCCCTTACCAGCCGCGTGGCTGGCTGCAGCTCTGCCAGTTCCTGTTCACGCTCCTGGACGACCCTGCCAATGCCCACTTCATCGCCTGGACGGGCCGCGGCATGGAGTTCAAGCTCATCGAGCCCGAGGAGGTGCGTGGTGGTGCTGCTGGTGCAGCTAGGGTGGTTGTGGAGCACGTGGGCTGGGAACCCATCTGCACCCGAAGCAGCTGTGGCGACGCAACTCTGATCCGTCTTCTCCTCCCAGAGCAGCTGGTCCAAGCCCAGGCTCAGAAAACTTGGTGCTGGTGCCGCGGCTTGTGTCCCCCATGAGCTACAGGCCATCCTTGCTCCCTCAGAAAGCAGTTTTCCAGGGTTTCTAGTCGTGTCTCTACCTACCACTGGATCTGCGGGTGGTTTCATGCTGGGGTTGCAGCAGGCTGGGTAGGTGCCGCCCTGGCAGCACCATGGCGTTTTGTAGGGTGCCACAGAGGAAGGAGCTCTTTGGGGAGTAATTGAAGCCAGCTGTAGCACTGAAGTTGCGCCTTGTGGGTAATTACCCATAATATCTCTTTTGCCGTTCATTGAAATTGCGGGTTTGGGATGCAGCTTTTTTGGCAGGCTCCCCTAATCAAACCTCTTTTGATGAGGTCTCCCATTGAGCGCAGTCTGCATCGCGGCAGGCCCCGCTCGCTGCTGGGGCCGCTCTGTAGCGACAAGGACGTTCGTTGTCTTTTGGGAGAGGACCAGCTTTCCAGTGGGCTGTGGGGGTGTTGAGCATGACCACGTTGCTCCAGGGAAGGGCACCTTCTGCTGTGTGCATGCAACCCGGCTCCAAGAAAGACAATGTGTCCTTGGCCACGTTACGCCCATGTTGTAGACTCCTGGTGCCAGGAGCCCCAGGACAGCCCCAAATTCATCTTCATCTCTCCATTAGGGAGCTGAGGAGCAGAAGAACCGGACTTCTGTCCAATTTCTTTGCTATGCAAGCTAGAAAAAAATAGCATGCAAAATCCAGCTGCCGTAGGGGATCCTCCAGACCAGGAGGCCTGCTTTGTGGCTGGTCATCCAGCTTTGGGCCCTTTCAACCATGGGGCTGGATTTTATTGCAGTTACAGCACAGTGCATTGGGGATTTTGCAGGAAAGTAGTGGGCATGTAGGGAGCACATGGATATCTCCTGTGAGGTTGGGGTTTTTTTTGTTTATTTGCTTGTTTTGTTTTGTTTTCTACCCCACGAAAGAGTTGCTGGTTGGTCCAGTTGCTAGAAAAGAGCCACTATCACACATTTCCAATCTGCAACCAGCTTTTCTGCGGCTCTAATTTTTACTTATGGAAGACCCATGTCCAAGGGACATCTTGAACTTCCCCATCTTTTTCCATTCCCTCCGCAGGTAGCGCGCCGCTGGGGGATCCAGAAGAACCGGCCCGCCATGAACTACGATAAGCTCAGCCGGTCTCTGCGCTACTACTATGAGAAGGGCATCATGCAGAAGGTGACCCTGCTTCCTGCCCCGTGGTACTGAGGGGGAGGGAGAGGAGGGCTGGCTTAGCTGCATCTGAGTGTAGCTTAGGGACACTTCTTTGGTTTCTTCTTGACTTCTCAAATCTTTTCCTTAGAGCCTTTGCAAACAGCAATACTCGTGGGAGATGATGTTGGTTGGCCAACGCAACCAACTCCTGCCAAGGAAGGTCATTTGGGTTCTTGATTTCCTAGATTTTTTTTTTTTCCTCAAAGTCCTTGGAAACAACGATGTTCTTGGGAGGCGACATTGGTTGGCCAACCCAACCAAGTCCCACCATGGACTTGAACACTCTCATCTGCCCTTAGCCTAACTACTTCAGCCCAAGAACCCACTAGAGTGCCCCTTTGGAGGGGTGATGAGCCTGTGCCCTCACATGCCGCACTGTGCTTTCAGGTGGCCGGCGAGCGGTACGTCTACAAGTTCGTCTGCGACCCCGACGCCCTCTTCTCCATGGCCTACCCCGACAATCAGCGCCCCTTCCTCAAAGCGGAGCCTGACTGCCCCGTGGCTGAAGACGACACCTTGCCGCTGACGCACTTTGAGGACAGCCCCGCGTACCTCCTGGAGCTGGATCACTGCAGTGGCCTGCCCTACGCGGAGGGCTTCGCTTACTGACTCGGCCGTCCAGCTGCCGGAGCCGCCAGCGCTAGCAAAATCCCGCCTGGGCGAGCAAGGGCCACGGTTTTATAAAGAATTATGATTTTTTTTTTCTGTTGCCGTTCCTATCAAAAGAAACTCAAAGGAAGTGCGTGCAGAGCGCGAGCAGAGGGATCTAGAAGCTGGTGCACGTCACTGTTGACTTCCCGACCTCCTCCCTGTCCAAGGGCTAGCGCGTAGGACTGCCCGTGGCTGACGCCCGCCAAGCACCACCGCGATGCTGGTTTTGGGGGTAGGTGGCGGGGGTCTCCGATACAGGCAGTGATCGGTTCCTCCGTGCCAGACCGGCGCGACAATCTGCTTCATGCTGCTCCCGACCTGCGTGGCTGCCTCGGGCATTGGAAAGGGCTTCGATTTGCACAGATGCTGTGGGGGTTTTGGAGGGATGGAAAGTCGGGGACGTGGCCTGCGAGGGCCTCCCTGGCTGCTTCCTACTCCATGTCCTTGTTAAGTATCATGCTCCCCCATCGTGGGTTCTATGGCTGCCCCACGTCCTCCCCGGAGCTTCTCTCCCGCAACTGCCCAAAACGAATTTAGTGTCCGCGGAGGTGACAGGGGCAGTTATCTCCATTCTTCCTCCCTTCCTTCCCCCCCTTTTTTGGATGTTTTAGGAAAATGTTTGAACTTTTTTTTTTTTGTATTTTAAGGCAAGTTGTTTTTTCGCAGCCAGACCACAGCGTCCCTGGGGGCAGCGGGCAGCGCACCCGGAGCCCCGTGGCATGGAGGGCACCTGCTCCAGTCGCCCCCCTCACATCCCCACGTTTTTTCCCGGCCTCGCCGGCACGAAGTATCCAGTCCACTCCATTTCACCGCACGCGGGGGCTTGGGCCCCCCTCAGCTCTGCTTCCTTTCCCTTCTCGCCTGGCATGTCCATGGAAGCCGGGGCAGGAGCGCGGGGCAGCCCCGCATCCCGCTTTCCCCCTTGCGCTCCCCAACACTCCTCCACTCATATATACATATCCGCATCCCCTCCTCGAAAAATGGCTACGTGTTTTTGTTGTAAATGCTGTATAGGAAATTTTTTTCTCCTCCTTAGTTAGCCATGTTTGTTTTGTTTTTTCTTTTTGATTTTTGTTTTGCTTTTTTGACTTTTTTTTTTTTTTTTTTTTGAGATTAACCCTTGGTTGACTCCGTTGCTCTCTCCGGCTCCGCAGCATCGGTTGGGAAGCGGCTGCGGGTGGGAGCTGCGCCGTGGGGAGGGCCCCGGAGCCCTGGCTCCGTGCAGCGGGGTCCAGCGCCGGAGGGGTTAATCAGAGGAGCGATGGGATCTGATCTTCAGCGGGGCAGGCTGCTGCGCCGCTGCGTTCTGTACTGTGTACAATAAAGGATCTTGCTTTCTGTTCGCTCCCCTGCCCGCACCGCCTCGTCTTTGGCGTCTGGGTCGGCTCTTCTCCTTGCCCACTGTTGCAAGGGCTGCAAAAGTTGGGTGGCTGGAGGGAGGGCTGGAGCCTGCTCTTGGGGACGGCGGGATGTCTTGTTGGAGTTAAAGGGAATGGATGAGTCTCCTGGGCTTTTCTGAGCACGTGGGAGATCTAGGTTAGAAATTCGGGGGCCTCTGGAGCTGTACAGAGCCCGTCTCCTTCACGAGGATTGCAACGCTATGGGTGGTGGAGTCCAAGTTGTCAACCCCCCTTTCCTGCCTTCGTCCCGTCGCCCTTGGCATGGCCATGGCTTTGCCAAAGCGAGGGCAGGAGAGAAGATCCCCTCGTGAGCAGGTCGCTTCCTCTCCTGCAATTCAATACTGTTTTTCTCCCCCTCCCTGAGAGCTTCTCAGGCAGGACAAGCGGTAGCGTCTGTCCCTTTCACTCAGCTCCTGGAAATCTGAGCCCTGGCGCCCGCGCTGGCTTCCTCCTCACCAAGGGCACTGAGGAGCTGGGACATGGCTCTCCTCTGTGGTTTTCCCTTGATTTTTATCCTTTTTTTTTTAATCTCTTCACAAGGAAGGGGCTGAATGCCAGCAAAACCTGCTGCTTTCCCAGGTCAGAAGAAGATCTTAACTCCAGCGGGCTCTTCTTCACAGCACTGCTTGGCATCATGATCTTGCAAAGCAAAGCCTTGATCAGCCCTCCCTGGAGACTCTCCAAAGCACATCTCCCATCCAAGAGCACTGGCCTACGAGGCCCCAGGTTGGCCAGTTGTGACAAGGACATCAAGCAGGGCAGGAGCTGATGTGAAGCTGGGGGGGTGCTATGGACTTGCTGGGCTGGACCTCTCAAGAGTTGGCCCCTGACAATGAAAGCTCCTCCAAGAGCCCCCTGGAAGGGGTGTGCTCACCTGGATCACAGAATTACAGAATGGTTGAGAGTGGAAGGACCTCTAGAGATCATCTAGTCCAACCTCCCTGCTCAGAAGGGACACCTAGAGCATGTGGCACAGGGTCGCATCCTGGATGGACCTTTTCTTGCAGCCCTTTGCATGCTGCTGGCAGCAGAGCCACCAAGCTCAGCTCCTGGATCTGGCAGTGGAGTGACACCAGCCCTTCGCTGCATGGTGCTCCTCACTGCATGGTGCTCCTCACTGCATGGTGCTCCTTGCTGCACGGTGCTCCTTGCTTCATGGTGCTCCTCGCTGCATGGTGCTCCTCACTGCATGGTGCCCCTCGCTGCACGGTGCTCCTCGCGCCTGCCCCTTGCTTCTGTCTTCAATCCAACTCTTGCAGCGCTGCTCTTCTGGAGCACTGGGTCCAAGGCCTTCCCTTTCATTTCTGCTGAATGCCTCTTCAAATTCTGCACATGCCTCGCTGGACACACTGCTGGGTTTCAGGAAACCCTGCGAGGTCACTCAGCTGGTCGGTGTGCTGAGCTGTTCTGCTTTATCTTGTGCTGAGACATGTCGTGCTTTTTCTTTTCCTTCCTAAAGAAAAAAAAAAAAAGGGAAAACGTGTGCGAATGTTCTGCTTTTAGCTGAAACTGGAGAAGTGTGAAGAGCGCCGTGAGAGCTGCTTATTTAGCAGGAGCTGCAGGCTGAGCCCTCCTCTCTGCGGCAGGAGCTGGGGCTGCAGCAGGATCCCTGGCCGCTCACAGTCACTAGCACGTCCTGTCCCCGGGATCTGTCATTGCACTCATGTTCCAGCCTCTTAGGGGGCTCGGCGTTTTCTGGAGGACTCTCCGGTGCCTCAAAGTATGGGTTCAGGAGAAGAAGACTATCCAAAAAGGAAGGTGCCACCAGGGTACCCATCTCCTCTGGCAACCAGTGGAGAGGGGGACCTTGCCATTGTCCTGCTCTGGCAGAGCAGCATCCCCATCCTGTGTCACCTCATCCTGAGGTCTCGGCATAAGGTGAGATGGCAATAGCTTGGAGGCACCCAAAGGGAGGTCCCTTGCAAGGAGATGGTTCATGGATACACGCTGTGAGTCTCCCCTCATGTCCATGGAATCCTCCCTGGCATGGAGACAGCGCCTCACCCACTGCTAGAGCATCCTGCATATTATGACCAAAACGGGGCCCTGCGAAGAAACCGCCTTTTGCCAAAAATCTCAGCTCCAGACAGCAAAGCCAAATTAATCCCCTTTCCAGGAGGAGGGCAGCAGGCAGGTCCCAGCGCTGCACACGGGAGCAAGGGCAAGCGAGGCCAGCGGCAGCGCTGACGGCGGGTCAGCCGGCTGGGCCACCAGGGAGCAGATGGCCCCAGGGTGGCAGGACCTGAACCGGGAGGCACAGGGGGGCATGTGAGACCAGCACGGAGGGTCTCAGACACGTTGGGCATTTGCAGAGTGATTCCCAGCCCTCTGATGCAGAGCACAAGGAGCTCCGATGCTTTACCAGCGCTTTATGGGTCTTTATGGACCCAAAGAGCCACAGGAGTTGGATGAGCCGCTCACTGCAAACCCTGAACGTGGGCTGTTGGTCCAAAAGGGCATCTGAGAGGAGGCTCATGGTCCCTTTGCAGCAGAAGAGCCCGTGGATTCCCATTTGGGCAGTTTCTTCAGCAAATCCTGACCACGGAGGCTGCTGTCGCAAGGAGTGAATGCAGAGGACATCACATTTCCTTCATTTTGCTCGCTGAGCATGGCCAAACGATAAGCTTGCAAACATCTTTAGCCACAAACTCTCCTGAGCAGAAGGAGAGTTATCTGTTAAGTGATAAGCATTTGAGTCAAGTAATCTGATTAGGGTGGCAAAGCGGCTAGGTGGCTGCTAAGAGCAAGGGCCGCCGGTGGCTACCAGCTGTTGTCCTCCCCGACGTGGATCAGGAGCTCCACTTGCTTTGGGGCGTCACCCTGTCATCCATAGCAAGGGGTCCTTCCCCGTGCCCACCACATCTGACAAACCCATGGCCACCACTGCTGAGGGCTTCCCTGCTACACGAGCTCCTCTACCTGAGAGACCCCCCCAGTTCCTCACTGCAGCTTCCTCTGGACCTCCTGGGCTCCTCCTGCATCCCTGAAGTCCTCCATGGAGATAGGCAGCCGGCATGAAGTCCTTCCTTGCCTCATTTTCCAAGCCGCTGCCTGCAGCTCACATGCCCCGGCAGCCCGTGACGATGTTCCAGGCACCATGTCAACACCGTTCGCAGGGCTCGGCGCTCCCTGCCAAGGCAAGGAGCCTCCATCATGACTCAGCCTCCCTCCCCGGTCCCCGCCAGTCCCGGCTCGAAACCGAGCGGGCCGCAGGCATGCGCTCCTGCTGGCATCGCCACCTCCGTGATGCCAGGATCCAAAAATGAAGCACTGAGCCCCAAAGAGAGGCAGTGCCCGTCCCCAGGGTCCCCAGCAGCTACAGCCCTGCACAGAGCCTCCTATCTGTCCCATGCAAGGTAGGACACACTATAACGCCTGATGCCGCCGGCGGCTTCGATCCGTCAGCAAGACAAGGTGAATAACAGCTCGTGGTGCTGAGTGAGCAAGTAAAAAAATGGCAGATGGTAACAAGTGCAAATAAACATGGTTTTCCCCATTTTTCCTCCCTTTGCAATCTTATGATGTGCTCCAGGTTGCTCCCTCCCTGGAGCAAGAGCT